CGGGCTAGCCAGGTCTTAAGGGCTGTGCGGAAGGTCTGGACGGTGGTGAGGGTACGAATCTCCACGGGGAGATCGTTCCAAAGGGTCCATTCCCAAGTGGACTTCAGTGGGACTGCCTCCCTGCTGGAATTTGGAGTATTTCTCACCACTAAAATGACCTATTCCTGTTTCGTGACCCGACAAAAGCGCGCATGACAAAACCGTGTCGCTAAAATTGCAACATCAATGCGACAGCGCAGCAACAGAAGGGCGATTTACAACAGCGCGGTGACAGAAGGGCGATTTAAGGTAAGGGTTAGGTTTAGATTAGGTTTAGGGTTAGTGTTACGTTTAGGGTTAGGTTTAGGTTTACAGCGCGCTTCTGTCGCCGTGCTGTTGTCGGCGCGATTCAGCACTCATTCGCTTTAGAAGTCGCGGTTTTGTCACCGCGGTTTAGTCAGTTGCGCCTTTGTCGGTCGCCCTTTTGTCGGTGAACCTTCCTGTTTAATTGGGATGGCACTCTTTTATCTGCTGGTATAATCTATTTTGTTTCCTTACCCTTAATAAACCAGATGGGTCAAAGGTTTAGTAACAGCCCTGTATTCTTTCAGTACAAAATTCTTCAACTGAAATGTTTTAGTTATTCCAGAGTTTCCTCAAAATACTCATTCATCAAGTTGTTCGATGATCCAAAGCACAGACTGCTGATTTATAAAAGTAATCTAACCTTTAAAAAATTTGTTTAATGGGGGACATGACGTGACAGATGATACTTTTAAAGGAAAACAATGTCAACAGCTGTTAATATCTCTTTCTAGCAGCAGCATTTCTTTGATGATGAAGACCGGACAGTTCCAAGCACTCCAACATTGGTGGTGCCACATCGTACAGATGGATTCGCAGAAGCAATTCAGTAAGTGGATTCTGACCAGCAAAAGACCAGCAAGCCTTTTAAATACTACAGAATGTATAAATTTCTTCACTTGGTATATATTAATTCTATCTCTTACTTTATTTGTTTGTTTGTTTGTTCAATTTGTATAGCTACCTGTTCTGACCCCCCTTGTCCCACACCAACACACACTCCGAGCCAAAGATAAGTTGCGGCATTTAATTAACA